GACTGGAGGGCACTGGGAAGGATTGGGGGGCACTGGGGGGCACTGGGAGGCCAATGTATCCATGGGGGCGTGGGAGGGCTGGGGGAGGCCGAGTGTGTGTGGGTGTGGGGGGGTGTGGGGTGTGTGTGCATGGAGTGCGTGTGCGTGCAGTGAGGGTGCGCACACTGTGCGCGCTGTGTTTGGGCAGCGGGGGTGTCGGGATACACAGTGTGTGTGGGGGGTGTGCGGGTGCGCACACAGCGTGTGTGTGTGTGTACTGTGGGTGTGTGCGTGTGCACAGCGCCCAGTGTGCATGTACACAGTGTGCGCGTCCAGTGTGTGTGCACCAGTCCGTGGGTGAGCTTGCACGCACTGTGTGTGTCTGTATACACACTGTGTGCGAGTGTGCACGTGTGTGTGAGTGTGCGTGCACCCTGTGTGTGTGTGTATGTCTCTGTGTGTGTGTGCCCTGTGTGTGTGTATGCTCTGTGTGTGTGAGTGTGCCGTGTGTGTGTGGGGGGGTGAGTGTGCTGTGCCTGTGTGCCATGTGTGTGTCTCTGTGTGTGTGTGCGTGCCCTGTGTGTCTCTGTGTGTGAGTGTGCCCTGTGTGTGTGTGAGTGTGGGGGTGAGTGTGTGTGTGTCTCTGTGTGTGTGTGTGTGTGTGTGCGCCGTGTGTCTGTCTGTGGGTGGGTGAGTGTGCCCCGTGTGTCTGCGTGTGTGGGTGGGGGGGTGTGTGTGTGTCTGTGTGTCTGTGTGTGTGGGTGAGTGTGCCTCGTGTGTGTGTGCGCGCACCCCATGTGCCGTGTGTGTGTGTGTGCAAGAGTGTGCCCATGTGTCTGTGTGTGTGTGGGTGAGTGTGTCTGTGTGTGCCTGTGTGTCTGTGGGTGAGTGTGCCCCGTGTGTATGTGTGTGTCTGTGTGTGTGTGCGTGCCCCGTGTGTCTGTCTGCGTGTGTGTGTGTGGGTGAGTGTGTCTGTGTGTGTCTGTGTGCCTCGTGTGTGTGTGTGGGTGAGCGTACCTCGTGTGTGTGTATATGGTGTGTGTATATGTGAGTGTGCCCCATGTGTCTGTGTGTCTGTGGGTGAGTGTGCCGTGTGTC